CTGTTGGCTTTTTTTCTCTCCTCTCTCTCTCTCTCTCTCTCTCTCTGTGTGTGTGTGTGTGTGTGTGTGTGTCTGGTCAAAATAAAAATGAATGAATGAATGAATAAAGTTAAATAAATAATTAAAAATAATAAAATGTTTTTAAAAAATAAATAAATAAAAAGGGTTTTGATCCTCCTGTGCTTGTTTTTGTTCAGTCTATTGAGAGAACTAAAGAGCATTTTCATGAACTCATATATGAAGGTATTAATGTGGATGTTATTCATGCAGAGAGAACACAGCAACAGAGAGGTAACACAGTCCACAGCTTCAGAGCAGGAAAAATCTGGGTCCTTATTTGTACAGCCTTGCTAGCAAGAGGGATCAATTTTAAAGGTGTGAACTTGGTGATCAACTATGACTTTCCAACCAGCTCAGTGGAATATATCCACAGGATAGGTCAAACTGGAAGAGCAGGACATAAGGGGAAAGCTGTTACATTTTTCACCCAAGATGATAAACCATTATTAAGAAGTGTTGCCAATGTTATACAGCAGGCTGGTTGTCCCGTACCAGAATATATCAAAGGCTTCCAAAAATTACTAAGCAAAGAAAAGAAAAGGATGATTAAGAAACAATTGGAAAGAGAGAGCATTAGCACAACTCCAAAATATTTCTTAGGAAAAGCTAAAGCTAAATGGAAAAATGTTAATTGTCAGGAGAAAAAGAAAGTAGCTTTTGATGCCAAAAGTTAAAAACAGACTTTATGACTATCCAGAAGTAATTTTATGATCCCAGAGTAAATGCTGTTTTCATGAACTACTTCAAGTCAAGTCACTTGTACCAAATATTTGACATCATCTACAAGCACCTGGGTTGGTGAAAGCAATCCTAAAGTAGCAACGTGTCCTGTCAAATTTGATTTATCGGTCTCTTAAATGATTGTTTAGTGAAAATAACATTGATATTTCTGTACTTTGAATCCATTGTGGTACTTCTTATAGAAGAACAAAAGCTTATGCTAAAAGTAGCAGCCTCAAATATGGTGACCTCTTAAAGATTTTTCTCTTCATGTATGAAGATGTGACGATGTGATGTATGCTATGGAAAGGCATCTGGAACAGAATCTTGAAATAAAGTTTTGCAATTGAATTCAAATGAAAAAAAATTCTGAAAGGAGAATGGAGGAAAAGGAATTGTGATGTGGGCACCCCCACAGGGGGGTGATTTTTCACTTTCTGTCTCTCCATCTCTCTCTGTATTCTCAGCGAGCAAAAACTTCTCTCAAAAAATTTCATAGAAAAATAAAACTAAAGTATAAGTTTGGATTGCAAAGTAAAATGTGAAATTCATACTTTTTTTCATAATGCACATCTTTCCATGAACTTTTTTTCTTCTTCTTTTTTTTTTTTTTTCTGGAGAGGTTTACTCTATAGGTTGTGTATGCTCACCAGAAAGACAGAGAGAGACAGAGAGACAGAAAGCGGGGAGGTGGGTTATAGAGGAAGGAAATGAGAGAGGAGAGCAGGGGGAAAAAACAGTATGTTTAATTGACACAGAAATAAAAAAAGTTATTTGCTGATGAGAATGTATATGGTGATGTCTTTGTATATTAGTGCTGAAAAAAGCAATGTTGTACACTGTAAAAGTATATAGTGACTCAATGTAAATTTTTTTAAGAATATATAATACAGAGGAAGAGGAACTATAAAGGTCCAGTGGTAGCAAAGGGCCTAGGTTTCGGGGACAGAAAGAAGAGGCTGAAGTTTGGTGAGTAAGTAGGGAGATTGATACACATGAAGATGTAAAGGTAGGCAGAGGCCATCTTATTTATCTCACAAGATCCTTTGCCTCCATGAACTTGTCAGCCATCTGGCCCAGCTTCATCCATCTGTGTACCATCCACCAATCAGTTCAAAGCTAGAAGAATTTCGCGATTGCCATACCACCTACCACCTGTCACATGACTGATCCACCTACATCATCACAGCAGAAGTTCCCATTTTGTATTCCTGCTTCAAACACATCTCTTTTCACAACTATAGTCTTAATCTTCATTATTTTTTTCCCACTTCAAGCATTAAGGGCATGCTTGTAGCTAGTTTATATTCTGAAAGAGCTATAGGATACCTAGAAAGTCTCCAAAGGCAACTTCTGGTGAGCCAAATATCAGTACAAAGGATAAACCTACTGGTACTGGGCATAAGACGGGAGAGGGATGATGTGAAACTTGATAGGGAAGACAATATCTGGGTTGCCCCTATGCCCATAGGTACCACAGAAGCTCAAAGATCACTGCTTGGGAACTTTCGAGATATCTGTCATCAACCATGTAGCTCTCTGACACCATCTTTCCTACTTCATGTCATTTGGCGAGCATTTTAGATATGTTTCCTACAGCACACAACCAATATCGCTTCTTTTATTCTGCACTTTAGTGACCCTCCAAAATGACCAAGGATGAACAACACTAATATGTTATATAGAGAGAAGAAATGTGGCTCATTGATAAAATGGGCAATATGTATACCTGGCCCATTGAGTGTGTAACAGCCAAAAGACTGGTTTGGGGAATCTGTCTCTCACCTCCAGTGAGCAACAGGCCAGAGTTAACAAGGCAAGTGCAGTAAATTCTGGGATCCTCTACCTGTCAGAGAGTCTGAAAGCATCTACTCTGTTATTTATTTTAATACTTCCAAACAAAAAGCCATAGTCATGAGACCTGGACAAAAAGTCAATGAAGTCACCTGCAGTTTGGAACAGATGTTATTCCAAACCTCATTCTCACTCGCCCTCTGGGTACACCAATTCTCTTGCTGATGTCATTCTCTTTCCATCTCTTTCAAAAGTACACTTTGACTCTTCCTTTTGGTTTAGACTTACATGGATTGACAACTTCATTTTGGACTGTCTTCAAGGAATTCCCTTAAAATATGTTGTTAAGCAACTTCTTCATTCAGTACAATAATAATAACGGTGAAGAAGAAGGAAAGGAGAAGGAGAGAAGTTAGCATTTATTGAGCTATTACTAAGTAGTGAGATATACCCACCACCATCACCCTCCCCCACCAGAGTGGATGGCCATGCTGCAGTCCCTTCTCCATTCTCCTCTCGAGATTCGGGCACACATGCACATGTGCCCAGTGTGAGTTTCAAGCCTCCAGGTCTGGGACTTGAACCAGGGTAGACCATCTGGGAGTCTGTGCTACAACCACTATGCCACCTGTTGCCCCACTCTTTTTCTTTTTTTGCTATAATGTGTATGCTTGCTGGAGAGTGAGAGAGAGAGAGAGACAGAAAGCGGGGAGGTGGGTTATAGAGGAAGGAAATGAGAGAGGAGAGCAGGGGGAAACAACAGTATGTTTAATTGACACAGAAATAAAAAAAGTTATTTGCTGATGAGAATGTATATGGTGATGTCTTTGTATATTAGTGCTGAAAAAAGCAATGTTGTACACTGTAAAAGTATATAGTGACTCAATGTAAATTTTTTTAAGAATATATAATACAGAGGAAGAGGAACTATAAAGGTCCAGTGGTAGCAAAGGGCCTAGGTTTCGGGGACAGAAAGAAGAGGCTGAAGTTTGGTGAGTAAGTAGGGAGATTGATACACATGAAGATGTAAAGGTAGGCAGAGGCCATCTTATTTATCTCACAAGATCCTTTGCCTCCATGAACTTGTCAGCCATCTGGCCCAGCTTCATTTATCTGTGTACCATCCACCTACAAACTGTTCCAAGCAGTTTAATCAGTTCAAAGCTAGAAGAATTTCTCTATTGCCATACCACCTACCACCTGTCACATGACTGATCCACCTACATCATCACAGCAGAAGTTCCCATTTTGTATTCCTGCTTCAAACACATCTCTTTTCACAACTATAGTCTTAATCTTCATTATTTTTTTCCCACTTCAAGCATTAAGGGCATGCTTGTAGCTAGTTTATATTCTGAAAGAGCTATAGGATACCTAGAAAGTCTCCAAAGGCAACTTCTGGTGAGCCAAATATCAGTACAAAGGATAAACCTACTGGTACTGGGCATAAGACGGGAGAGGGATGATGTGAAACTTGATAGGGAAGACAATATCTGGGTTGCCCCTATGCCCATAGGTACCACAGAAGCTCAAAGATCACTGCTTGGGAACTTTCGAGATATCTGTCATCAACCATGTAGCTCTCTGACACCATCTTTCCTACTTCATGTCATTTGGCGAGCATTTTAGATATGTTTCCTACAGCACACAACCAATATCGCTTCTTTTATTCTGCACTTTAGTGACCCTCCAAAATGACCAAGGATGAACAACACTAATATGTTATATAGAGAGAAGAAATGTGGCTCATTGATAAAATGGGCAATATGTATACCTGGCCCATTGAGTGTGTAACAGCCAAAAGACTGGTTTGGGGAATCTGTCTCTCACCTCCAGTGAGCAACAGGCCAGAGTTAACAAGGCAAGTGCAGTAAATTCTGGGATCCTCTACCTGTCAGAGAGTCTGAAAGCATCTACTCTGTTATTTATTTTAATACTTCCAAACAAAAAGCCATAGTCATGAGACCTGGACAAAAAGTCAATGAAGTCACCTGCAGTTTGGAACAGATGTTATTCCAAACCTCATTCTCACTCGCCCTCTGGGTACACCAATTCTCTTGCTGATGTCATTCTCTTTCCATCTCTTTCAAAAGTACACTTTGACTCTTCCTTTTGGTTTAGACTTACATGGATTGACAACTTCATTTTGGACTGTCTTCAAGGAATTCCCTTAAAATATGTTTTTAAGAAACTTCTTCATTCAGTACAATAATAATAACGGTGAAGAAGAAGGAAAGGAGAAGGAGAGAAGTTAGCATTTATTGAGCTATTACTAAGTATCAGGCATTGGCTAAACATTTTATGTTTGTTACTTCATCTACTCCTTGAAAAACTCTATGAGATACTGTCATTAGTTCCATTTAATAGCTGAGAAATAGGACACTCACTAAGGTTAAGTAACTAACTTGTCAAGATTATGTTGGTAGACAAAGACACAGAGCTAGAATTTCAACCCAGATTCATTTGACTACAGAGCCCATGCTCTTAAATGTACCCTATCCCTGCCACACACTCAACCATGCCTGTAGCAGATGAGAGGAGTCAGACACATGAAAGACAACTACAGTACTGTGTCTCTCTCTAAATGTGGCCTGAATAATCATGCCCATGGGTATGGGCACTGCACACAAAGCTGCTACTAAGTCAATGAATGAAAGAGAAGTTGTTCAGGTTTGTCTTCCTTCCACCTTTGCAAACCTCTTGTCTTGGTCTCTTTTTTGTCTACTTTTGTATTCTAGGTCCCAGCTTTCATCTAGACCCATTTGTGTTTAATGGCCTGGTAGTATTAAAGATGACCACTTCTATTTACTAGCTATAGGATAAACCTAAAAGTAGATGTAAGGAGCACTATCGCCCCAACATCTAGCTTGGGTATCTGGGATCACTCTCAAACACATGCTCAAGGGTACTATAATCTGCACTGCAGAAATTGCTGGAACCAGAGACTTTGGCTCCCTGCAGGAATCCATTGAGGCTGGAGGGCTTTGCTTGTAGTGTAGTTTCTCTGTTTATGCCTTCCACATGTACCTAGGGCATGGCTGCCATCTCTACCATCTGTAAATTAATAATCCAGGCCTCCAGCTTCCCTGTGAGGGCATAACAATAACATACTTCTGATGAGCAAGTTCCTTTAAAGGTGAATATGGGGGAGCACTTCAGA